GTATTGTCACAGGAAATAAGTATGTATGCAAAATTTCAGCTTTTTGAACGATAATTCAAATTTCATGCAGACAGCGAACAAAGCAAGTTCAATAAAATTGTTTAAAAAGTAGTGACTATTACAAAAAAAAATTAAATTACTGTTTAATTCACAAAGGATTTAAGAAGAAAATTTTGATTCTTTAATTGTTACTTCCAGTCATAATAATAATAGAAATTACCAGTATATTTGATAATGCAGCTCTTCTGACTCAAATTTATTAGCTTCTGTTTGAAACAATATAAAACTCTAAGTTACTACAAGTAGATAATTAAGAAGTCGAGTTGCTAAATTTTTATTTGGTAAAGCCAAAAAGCTTACAAGTAGTAGTTAAATTAATTTTCTTAGTCAATAGTCATTTTTATTACAAGAAAGGAAAGTATATTTTTCTCCCACAGGTGGAAGGGACTGCCTGAGACTTGTCGAGTCGAGTCATCTTGTTCTCCACTCAGGGAGGAAAATACACTTTCCTCCAGTACTGGAGATACTGTAATACATACCTATAATTTTCCCTACGATCCATCAAGAAAACTTTAAAACTAACAATTTCTCTTGATATCCCAGTTCCGTCATTAAATGTATCAACATGTTTTTCTGTTTCTATGGGGGAGGTAAAATTTTTACCTCCCTGAGAGGTTACATATATTTTTATTGTAATTTTGACACATGAGGAAGAAAAATTTTCACCTTCCTAGGACGTAATTGACCATTTTCCTTTTTGAAAATAAGGTGGAAAAACTTACTTTCTGTTAAAGTCATAAATAGGAAAAATGTTTTATTCGACAATTGCTTTTTAATACACAAGGGGTCGGTGGCTGACCTCGACTATATTGTGGAATGCATGTGAGGCATTGATGAAGCACCAAGCCTTGTTGTTATTTTTCCGCACTGTTTCGCCTTCATTATTTATTCCAATCAACTTCCATTTTAAGTTTGTAAATATTTTTGTTGTCAATTCGGAAAGTTATAAAACTCTTTTGGTAAACATGTAGCCATCAGGAATTTAGATACAATTTTTGCTTACATAAATAAGTATATACAGGCTGGATTATGAAAAACGCCCCAAGCCATAACTGCATTATTTTCACAAATATGACAATAGTTACGTAGAACAAAGTTTCACACTTTATTGTCACCTATTGTTTGAAATAGATGCTCAATCAATTACTACGTTTCCATGACGAATTGAATTCGAAGTGAAAACGGTATTGAGATTCAATACTGCCATGGAAAAACTTTAAAATTGGTATTGAAATCGATTTGAATCTCAAGATCGATACGGCAAATTCTGGAATCGTATCGGGATTGAAAGTACAATTTTTGCATGGAAACAGTATCTCAGTTTCGTACTGAATAGAACCGTACTTTGCCGGGCTTGTGTCAAAAAGATGACGTTGAAAAGCTGTCGTTGTTGTGTGAAGTCATTTCGGTTTTTTTTTCCAAAAAAAGATTCCATACTACTTCATGGAAACACACGCGGACTCAATTCCAATACCGTTTTCAACGTAGAAATGAAGAAACGTAGTAAATGCTGCTTCCTGTTTCACCAGAACTGACATCAATTTTAAATTTTTTGATAAAACACTGTATATTTTATAATTTTTGGTTTCTTTGTTAAATTATTGTCTTTCAATAAACTTATATTAAGTATCTTTTATTTATCACTAACTATTATTATTAGACAATTTGAAAATGAAATAAAATAAAGCAAGCTGTGGAAAAAATAGAACATTTTTATTCATTTTATAAAACAAGCACACGACTGATAACGAAAAACTGTTCAATTTGTAACATATAAGTATCTTGCAAAATTTAAGAAATTGTTCATTGTTAGGCAATTTTAATAACGCAGTTGTGTATAATGCTGCATATCTTGAAAAAATATGTAAAATACTGTTTCCAGGCAGTTATTAATTTTTTATACATTTTGTAGATAATGTCTAAATCGTAAGCCTATTAATACCTTTATTTTTTTAATAGATAGTTTTATATTTTGATAATATAATTGTAGTTTTTTTTTGTATATGCTCCCAAAAATTGTCATTTTACGAACTAATTCAAATCCCTAAAATGAGTTTTTTTTTTTTTAAACAGAATAATAAAATATTTAAAATACATCTTTTTTTCTTCTTCCTGGATTTTTTTGGTATGGAAACGATGAACAAAAACACGATTAGCCCGTCACACCCAAGGATGGTAAACTGATAGAGAAATAATTTGTTTTGATGAGTTCTATCACCGTTTAAATTTTCTTAACGCATTTCAATAACATACTGTATATATATATATATATATATCCCATTTACAATAGTCCTCAATACGTGTACGCTTTTTTTTGAATAGAAGTGTACCTATCGTATATTTTTAAATTTTTATAATTTTATCTATTTTTTCATCTATTTTACAGTTCACAAAACTCTAATTGATTATTATTTACACATTTGGAGTGAAATAGTTTTTCCATGGCCAAAATTTGTATTTCATTTTTTAAGTAGGTATAATTATAAAAAAATATTCGGTTACAAATATATATATTTCAGATCAGAAAAAAATAAGCTTTTCAAAATTGCCATAGCAAAATACAAGTTTATCTTATTACGGCTAAATCAATAACTGAAAAAAATTGTTAACTACATTATGAAATTATTCCTCGTAACAAAGTGCCTGTATAACGTCTTTATTTCAAATCCGTATCTTCTATAATAACGAAGAAACGAATTTTTTTAGATTTCGCCAAAATGTCAACTTTTCTCTGGAAGTCGAACACAAAAGACGATAGCGGGATGCGGTTTTAACCAATATTATTTTCGCAAAAAATTAGCCCCAGAATGTATCACTTGTTTTTTGCTAAACATCTTAGTTTCGGATATTCCCTATTCGCACATCCAAAATGGAGCACCCTGTATGTACATATTGCATAATATTATACTACAGCATAGTACTTACCTGTTGTTACGTGGATGTTTTATTTATTTTATTCACTACCAATTATAAAAATAAGTTCTAATGATATAAAAAATATTATTAAAAGATGAAAAAAGTGGGAATTTTCAAAAGTTTATATTTTTATATAATACATAATATTAATTATACAATTTTTTATTTTTTTGCTGAATCAAGTTCTGAATAATCGTAATCATCATCAATTTCGTACTGCTTACGGTAAATACCATCAGGGTCATACTTGGCGACTAATTGATTCCATTCGTTTCTATAATTTAATAGCACAAAAGTTAAAATCTTTCCTGCCTGTTTTTTTTGGACTTCGCTGCATTTCGAACAGTTCGTAACTAGAGCGTCAGGGAGGATCTCTAAAAAAATGAAAGACAACGCGTAATCTACTACAATAACTGTTTCAGTTAATAATTGGTTTTAAAAGTGATTTAGCTAAAAGAAGTCAACCTTAATTATAACGAGTATAATTATAGTATTGTATTTTTTTACAAACACTAAAGTAAACTTTTATTTTTTCTGTTAAAAAAATATTAACCACTAGGTATATCGTTGCTGCGCGGGTAAAAGGGATCAAGTCAAAATTTGATGAAAATAAGTTCAAGTCATATTAGTATACGATTTCAAAGTTATTGTCGCTGTGTAAAGAGAGCTAAGTCATTTGAAGAAAAACTGGTTACCCATTCAACTATGCTCTTCGGGTTAAGTCACAGAACAATTTGTTGACAATTTTCATCAAAAACTTGAAACTGTTTTCTCTGATTTTAACAATTTTTCACATAACCCCTATTACCCGTGCAGCAGCGATATAATTTATATAACTTAACCAAAATTAATTATCACGAATTGCAACTCCAAAATTCATTCAAGATTTATCATCTTATACAGGTTATATAATTATAAGTATTTATTCAAACATAAAAATTAATAAAAACATACACTAATTTTATAATTGACAAATCAAAGTTTATTTTTCTTGTTTATGTATTCCTAGGTGTGAAGAATATAATAAAAAAGAACATTTTTATTTATTCGAAGACAACTGAAAAGGTGCTTTTAAAAAAACTACAATTTATAAGCGTACCGTAAATTACATTATTTTGTTTTTATAGAAACTAAACAAATATATGATAATAAAATAAAAATAAACTGATAAAAAATATCAACAAATAAAATGTTTCTTGCTTTGTATTTACTTCAAATACTCACTTTTTAATTCCCGCCCTTCAGGCGAGCACGATCCTTTTTCTAAAAGACAGTTAATATAATTTAAGAGTAATCTTTTGCTATGTAAAATTCGGTCAACATCTACATTATCATAGCGAGTAGTGTATTTGTTATCTCTAGATGACCGTTGAAGAGTTTTCCCATTTACATTTTTACCACTGAAAATAATGAAACAAACGCTAAGAAAGACAACCACTGGAATATTCATTTCGATGTCTCTTTATGAACGTACATCAAAAGACTAACTGGAATAAACCTAAATTTACGTTTAACCATTTGCTTCAAGGTGGACAACAACACTGTGTTCTTGATTACAGGTTTTTTAGAAGAGAATAAATAAAAAGCAATTAAAAGTTTACTAAGAACTCATTTTAATTTGAGAAAATGTAAAAATACTATTAATTAAGATTCAATTGTAGCGATTTCGTGTTTCTGCGAATCAAAGTATCTCTTCTTGTAAGTACCGTCGGGATCATATTTAGCTTCTAAGGCCTTCCAGTAATCAGGTTTGTTATCAATGAGGTATCTCATAATAAAATCCGATCCCTCTTTTTGTTTTTCGCTACATTTGCTACAGTCGGTTTCGATGGCGTCGGGCATATTCTCTATGAATATATTTAAACGAATACAAGGTTTAGGTGGTTTTGGTAATTGTTCTACTTACTTTTTAACTCAAGGCCATCCGGAGAACATCGTCCTTTTTCCAACAAACAGTAAACATAATTTTTTAACAACCTTTCATTTTTGACAACGTTTTCCAAGTCAATATTATCGTATTTTGTTGTATACTTGTGGGTCGTATCTTCAGACCACCCAGAGTGGATAAACAAAAAGAGATACAAAGGAAGTAAATAGTAATACATTTTACAAATAATTTTCAAATTCTCAAGTCACACTGCAAAATACGGCAACGAATATGTCCTTTATATGACAGACTTTAATTGAATTTAATGGACTTAATTTTCGTACATAAATTTTCTGCACGAATTATTAACTAAATTAAACAATGATTCTTATTTCATTGTTTTGGATAATAAATTGAAATAAAGACAATGATGTTTTTATAGTCGGACTTATAAGTAATAATAGATTGAGTAAAAAAATGAACAAACTTGTGTGTGAATTAGTTTTTTACATTATATAATTAAATATGCTACATTTTTTTATTTTAAAATTGCGATTTAACAATTTTTTTATGATTTATTTGATAATCTACGAATTTATGTCCTAAAATTCTTTGTTTATCTAATCAATTAGATAAAATAAACCAAAAATATATATTTGTAATACCTACGTTTTTAGATAAAAACAATTATCTACCGTCGGTGGTTCCTCCTTATTCCTCTTAAAAAATAGATTGTGTGTCGTACGTTTATTGTATTCGCGTATATACCTACTATTGAACATAAATTTAAATGAATTTTAATTCGAGATTGCAATGCAAACGCTTTTGTAAATTAACAGTTTTTTGAGATTCCTACGGCTGGGGTTTTAGTTGACTGATAAGAGTGATAAGTATGGAAGAATTCATTTTTTCTCCAAGCTGATAAGAATGAAACTGATTTTTATATTTCATTTAGATATTTTGTGCGTATAATGTGTATTGTTTTCAGTGTTTGGTCCATACATTCATAATTATGAGCGGTGAAACAACAAACATTTTATTTCATATTATCTACCAAGAACAAGAATGTACTTTAGAGCTATTTAAATATGATACTGTGGGTAAGATTCGCATATCAGTTGTAAGTTTAAGAACGCGCGCCTCAAAGAAAAAATATATTAAAAAACTACCTTTTAAAAATAAGATTTTATTTTGAAAAATATACTAAAAGGTAAAAAATAATTGTTTTCTATTAGAGAGGAACATTTTTGCTTACAGCTTAAGTTTTTAAAATTTATAAAAGCTTTGAGGGCGGTCAGCTAAGCAAAGCACATACCTAATTGTGCAATACTTGTGGTGTTATAGCCGCTCCCAAAGCTTTTATAAATATTTAAAACCTAAGCTGATAGAAAACAATTATGTTTTACTTTTTAATACAGTTTTTTTAACTAAAGGTATATTTTTAAAAGATATTTTTTTATGAGGCTTATAGCCATGATACTGGCAGGCATCAACTTTCTTAATTTGACATTTGATAGTGGTAGTTCAATGGCCGCCGTCGAACCAGCCGAACACGTGTTTGTGATTGTCTAAATTTTTGAACAAATTTGAGTGCGACCAAGGAATATTTTTGTAATTTTTGTACCTGTCACGCCGGTAACCAGGCCGGATGGCACCGGATGTGCCCAGGTTTTGTATACAGTATGTTATTGAAATTCGTTAAGAAAATTTAAACGGTGATAGAACTCATAAAAACAAATTACTTTGCTAATTACCATTTTTTCGAAAAATCTTTCTAAACCCAGATAAAATGTTAATTAGTTTGAACGTAAATTCTAGTACCCGCCAATGTCTCCCTGCGTACATTAAAAGCGAAAGAAGATAAAAACTTAGATAGCCAAGCAAAAACCAATTCTTTATTTTTTTAAGTAGTTGGTAATTGTCCAATTTTGGAATTAATTTTTTTTACTCACTCTTACTAATTACTCGTAACTTACTTACTTACAGCATGTTTACTGTGTTAGCACTGCATGTACGTCTTTAATTTTTCAATTACTACGGAAAAAGTGTGAACCTTTTTAGCATTGCATGCATTGTAAATAGTCTTTCTTATATTTACAATAACCTACATGTATTTTTTATCTGTCAATTGCATAGGATAGCATGTTTGTATTATAAAAGCTTATTTTGTAAATTGTAAGGATTTTACACATTCTAGATAATTGTAATGTGAGCCGTTTTGCATTGTAAACTAGTTGTTTATTGTTTTTACAATTAATTGCATACGCTTTGCTACTGCATTACTGCATGCTACTACATTATAAAAATTCTTATAAACGTTTTTTACAGGAACAAATTTATAATTTTGCTAATATTTTGTTACATGTAATATGTATGTACAAGTATTCGTCAATTAAATTTGAATTTAAAAGAAATTATTTGTTATGATTTTTTTAACTCTGATCTCGCAACCTGACGCTACATTGTTCTTTCGATATTTTCAATCCAATTGATCAACGATCGACGCTCGGAAAAGATTTCACTTTAATAAGTCCACAGTCCTACGCCGAACAGAAAAAAAAATGGGTGAACAACAACAGCAATGTTGACATTAAAATAATGTAAATTGTAATGAAACCTCAATTTATTAAGGATGTTCAATTGATGTTCATTTTGAACATTTTAAAAATCGAATTTAACGTTAAAACTAAGATACTAGATTAAAACCTGCCTTAATCTTCAAAGAATAAAAAATTTGAGGTGCGTTTTTTTTGTTTGGTTGTTCAAAGGAACAATCAAATGCTTTTTATATTGTATTCAGTACTTACAGTTGGAGACAAAATACTTTGTATAATACTCTGTATAATAGCTGTCATTAATTTGAAATTGTCATTCATTAAAGCTAGAATTACATTAAAGTGTCAGAAAAGTGACGACCAAAGTATTTTGTCTCCAAGTGTACTATTGCAGGAAAAGAACAAACATTATTTTAATTTTCATACAATCATACAACGCTATATTAAATAATCGAAGTTTGAATACCTACTTTATATCTCCAGTTAAACGAACCGTCGAATAAATGTTTCTATTTCCACTCAGTTTTTGAGGAAACGACTGATCAAATGAGATAATTAAAGAAAAATGTCCTGTTTTGAGGTTAGATTGCCAATTTACACCTTTTGAAACTTTCTTCGACTTAGAAAAATAGAAATGACTTGAAATGGGGTTTTTACTTTTATTCGCGGTGGCAGAGTCAGTGTTGCTATATTACAACAAATTGTCTTGTCAAATAAAAACAAATTTTGTGATTTCGGTATTATGGAATTCGGTATTTCGAAATTTCGGTATTATGCACCAGATGCACGCATAGACGTGTACAAGAATACTAACTACGGCGACATCTGTGAATTGCTGCTTAAACTATTATTTTAGTTTGACCAGTTATAGTCATGACCAATTATAGTGATGAAAGGTTATAGTGATTTCCGTTTTTAGCTTTGCAACGTTTTGGTATATAGTTTTTTATAAATGAATTATTTTAGTAAAATTCGGTTTTAATTGTGAATTGTTATAATGCTGAACGTTTTTAATAATGAACGGTTATAGTATTGAATTATTTTAGGTGTGACCCATTTTAGTTTGAAACTTTTTAGTCTTGAACGGTTTTAGGTAAGAAAGTTTTTAGATGTACGCGCGTCCCCCCATAAAACTGGTCCATTACGCCCTATCCACCGATTTTCTAAATTTGAACTTGGCGACCGCGAAATTTCTCTAGCAGCATTCGATAAAGCTTCCCCGTACATCAGCACCATGTCTGTTAACTCCGGATTAGTGTACTGCACTTTTTTTGACGATAATTACGGGAAATTCACTTTCCAATAAATTGTAAACACGGCCTCATGTAGGTGAAGGACGTGACTAAATTGTGTCAGTAAGTTTTTGCAAGACCTATCTACCTGGGTTTTTGCCGTATTTACTTTTTTGCGTACCGTGCCATCCATAAACGACTCGATGACACGGAATACGGTGAAAATAAATGTAAGTATAAATTTGAGTTTTCGAAAAAATGGTAAATAGAGAAGTAATTTGTTTTGATGAGTTCTATCACCGTTTTAAGTTTCTTAACGCATTTCAATAACATACTGTATAAACATTTGAGTTCGTCCTATTTTTTGACCTGTCACGCCGGTAACCAGGTCGGATGGCACCGGATATGCTGAGGTCGTTTTTGTGAAGTGATACCTAACCTCTAAAACTTTTCGTGTTAACCAGTTTTTTTTTTTTTTTGATTATTGCGTACGTGGATTTCCACGCCCTGGCCGTATAGTCAAAGTAGCTGAGGCCTTTGTCTTAGAATAGAGAGAGAGAGAGACATTTGATAGTGTCAATGAATAAAAAGTTACGATTAATAATGAGTAAAATACAAAATAAGTTAAATGAAACTTGAATTTTGTGAATGAATTTTTATTCACTAATCGTTATTATTGGCCAAGAACTATCATTCACTAAATTGTCTGTATATGCATATTTAACGATAGTAAGTAGTACTTGAGTTAATTCTAATTTCATAAATGATTAGATTAAATTTCTGAAACTAAATAATTTTGCAGGAGATTTAAAAAATCAAATATTCAAACATTTTGGAATAGCGCCATATAAACAAATAATTGAATGTTGGCATAAAACTCCTGCGAATGATTTTGAACACTCTCATAAGTTGTTGTATGGAAACAGACGTTAATGTTTTAATAGTTTATAATGTTGAACATAACAATATTCCACAACAAGGTAAGTGATAGGATATTTAGCTAAATACAATTTTGAGATTTTTGGTATTTTCTTCAGGAATAACTAAACCATTTAAAATGGCCGAAAATGAACCTGTAGAAGTTTTAGTAGACGAAAGACAAGCAATATTAAGTTTTGTTCAATACTTTTTAACTAGCTTTTCTAACAGAGGCATAACTTTCCATATATGTTGTCTACAGGAAGCCTTTACTCAAGTTTTTCAATCGGTATCACTATTTCAAACTTCTAAACAAACCTATTTTACAATTAATTTCTAGAAACAAGTTTTACTTTTGTATCTGCATAATAAAAACAACAGATTTTCACATTTTTTTTGCGAACAACTGCTTAGTCCTGAAGTTCAAAGGACACTAAGTAATAAATTCTTTTTACTATGCTGGGACATTGAAAAAAATGAGTACAAAAAAACTCTAATTGAAGTTCTACAAATTCGAAATGAGTTGAAAAGTTTTGATCGTTTTATTGAAAAGAAAAAGTCTGCTGCTATTTTAATAATTCCCGGCATAAATTCGTTGCAAGTATTAAGTGTTATGAAAGAAAGTATGTCACCGTTTAATTTTTTGTCGACACTGCAACAAGCCCAAGAAATACTTATTAACAATAATGAAGTTGAAGATAATTTAAATGAGAACCAAGGATTTAAATTTGGGTTAGTATTTGTCGAGTTGGGTTTACACAGCTACATATATCATTACATTACACTTACAGGTCTAAAGAATATCAACAGATGATGCTAGATATGCTTGGAGATAGAGATTACGATAGTTTTGATCATTATGAGTTAAAATTTTTGGAAGAAAAAATTGGTTATGCTTTGTATGGTCCTCCAGAATCAGAAACAGGATATCCACAAGACAAACTTAAAAAAATTGATTTTTTGTTTAACGTAATAATGAAACAAAGCAGTAAGTCTTTTTCATCCAATTCAACAAAATCAATAAAATATTTATTTATTTTCCTAGATTTAATTACGAAATGGAAAGATCGCGTTATCATATCTTTCGTCTACGTATGCATCGAGCCTCTTCCAGAAGAAAAACTAAACCGGGCCAAAAAATTCGATAATTCCGATTTGACTCCCTTTCCTCTTTTTATTCTCAGAAAATGCAAACGTAGTAATAACCCTTGTCGGATCATTATAGACGACACGGGACGTGTTTACAATTCTTGGGATGAGTATCTTGCACAAAATAAACTCCCCAAGTGTGAAATTATTTTCCCAAAAGATGGACGGTATAGAAGCGATGATAGCGGAAACGTGATTTTAGGAAGACAACTATCACCAGAATGTGATATTACAAATTCTATTCTGAAAGGAACAGACATTGCTAGTGCCGTGGGTGGAATAGCTTCTGGAGGAGTGATGATTGCTGCTGCTTCAATTTCTGCAGTAGCGGCCGCTCCTTTAGTCGTGCCGGTTGCAGGAGTAACAGGAGCTATAATAGGGGCCTATTCACTTGGACGAAGTGCTCTTGGTCTTTATGACCGGCATAAACACAGACAGGTAATATATTTTGATAGTGAACTGATTTTAATAATTTGAACAGAGTTTGGATTTTTTCGAGTCGTCTGAAGCCCGAGGAGCTTACATTAATATCGTTGCGGGAGCTTTAGGTTTTGTTGGAGCTGGAGCCAACATGGCTGTATCTCAATTGGCTGCACAAGGCGTTAATATTGGAAGAGTAAGCTTAGAAATTTTTAAAAAGAAGATATCTTATTTTTGTTTTTAAGGGTGCTACTGCTACTGTTAATACTATCAATATTGTTAATCTTGGAGTTGGCGGAGCTGGAATTGCTAATTCTAGTTATGAAGTCATAAGAAGCTGGATATGCGAAAATGAAAAACCATCACTTTTGACTATAGTGCAATTGAGTTCTTCTATTCTTTTCTTTGGACATGCTGTTTACAATTATAGGTCGGTTGGTGCGATTATTGAAGAAGCTCAAACTAACACGTTGAAAGATTTTCGAGATTCTTTAAGAAGTAACAGACACAGAAAAACGTTTAATAAACTCTTAAAAGAAACTCTTCGTCAAAATGAGGGAAACGTTCAAAAAAGTCAAGCTGAAGTAATATCAACGATAAGAAATATTCAAAATAAAGATGAAGTGTTTGCTACTTTAACACGTGCTAACAGGGCAATGAATAGAAATAATGTTAGATTTAGTGCACGTAATGGAGAAATTACGTTGAATGGCGTGCCAGTAGACATGAAAACATTTGCAAACATGGAGAAAAATGAAGTTATCACATTTTTAACGACGCTGCCAAATACACCAAACCCTACAACTGCCGATATCCGTAATATGGGTATAAATATTCGTAACTCATTTCCTGGTATCAGCCCTTCCCAAGTAGCATCATTAGCTATTAGTTTAGCTAAAATTTTTGGTTCATCAGATTTAAGTATCCAGGAAAAAATTTTCAATGCTGTGTCTGAACTGTTCAAATACTTGTTGAGACAAGCTGGTTTAATGGAAGAACTTGATCGCATATTTTCCACCGTGGACAAATACTTTCGCTTATTTAATATGGTAAATAATTATTTCCAGTCACTGATAAACGAAGTCGAAGAAAAATACCAAAGATGGTTAAATACGCGAGATCCGCATTTGGAAGAGCCTTACTTCGTTCGATTATCTCTAGATGCTGCAAAAAGAGCAGCAGAAATGTTTAATTATGTGTCTGAAACTTATTTCACTCGAACTAAGCTTACCACGTTTGGACTAGAAAAATTACTGGAATATTTTTTCACATGGTTTACAAACCAAGTTTATTTATTTGAACAAAAGCAAGAAAGAAGAAATCAAAGGCGAGAACATAGTCATAAACCTAGGCCAAGAAAGCTTTGTCCTGATTGCGGGGGATATTTCTACCAATTGTCGTAGATTCAGCTAGTCCATCAAGAACTACAGTCTCTTTAGAATAAAGTTATTAGTTACAAAAAATATTTATTATAAATTGTGTTATTACTTTTATTTGTAAATCTTAAGCGTGACTACAAATAATTTACTATTTCAATTTTAAAGCCATGCTTTGTATGTAGCCTCAAGTGTTTCGTTTATATACAGGGTATTTCACGAGTGATAATGAGCCTGACCAAATTTGAACTGCAACCAGTAATACATTTGCATATGCTTCATGGATTTTGATTATGAATTTTAAAATTAATAAAACATAGTTATCGCTACTGACACAAAAATTGACAAGACAGGAAACACAATTTTTAAGGTTATTTGTCTATCTACCATTGGAAAACACTTTAATGATTCACACCTTTTTGGAGCTTTTCTATTCAGGAAACATTGTCTTTGCAAAGGCAGAAGCATTTTTCCCAAATTCGCCATAAAGGAGAATCATCTGTTTTCTCATTGATCGAATGCATTTTGACTTTTTGTTAAATTTAATGTCAGTTGTGACAAATAAAATTATTGGAAGCAAAGCTATCGTGGATTCATAATCGGGTTTTCAAACAATGCGATATCAAAATATCTACGTTAACTTTGCAAATGTATTGTAGGTTGTATTTTCAATTCCGTAAAGCTGAACAAAAACACGATTAGCCCGTCACACCAAACTTTTATTTTAATAGAACAACGGGTTTCAACCACAAAGTGGTCATCCTCAGGTGAGAATAAAACTAACTAATTTAACAATGGTAATGCCTTATATACTAATTTTCCGACTTTCACTTTCCCTACCC